TTTTTTTTTTAAGTTAAAGAATTTAAACAAGCCTCAGGCTACCAAAACTCCACACATTTTCAGACAGGGATAACTTCTCTCATCATAGGCTTGAATGAATAAACCGTCTAAACGCTGACCTTGGGTCAGATTTTCTCTTTATAACTGACTATGCTGACCAAAAAGCATTGAATTACACCTTTTAAGACCCTGAATTTATAGTAAAACACTACTTATACGTACAGCGCTTCATCCAAGTGAATCAGGACACTTCATGGTGGTTTCAGCTCCATCTGTACGGAGAAAACATGCTTCAGATGGGTTGTCAAAGGTTACAGAAGCAGATAATTTAGGGAAGATGCAGCCAAACATGTTTTTAAGTTTTGAAGAGATCTACCTGATCAGTGCTGAATCAGCGTTTAGATACAGACGTTCACCTGTTCAGAGACAAATAATTTGATCAGAACCTGCCGTCTCCAGAACAGACCGATGCACTTTAAATCTGCACGTTGTGTCTCAGAAAGATGTTGCTTTGCCATCGTCAGTTATCGCATCAGACGGCACTTCCTATATAGCGGTTTCATCACAGAACACAACTCCACGATCAATGCCTCATGCGTTTGAGTAACTAATAGGATTCTAAGTATACGAGTAAACAAAGCTTGAAATACCCCAGAGTCAGTTCAGTAATAAACCACGTATAAACAAACTTAACCAAGTTAAACATCTAATGACTTAAGCGCTTCCTTAAAACGTCGCAATACACTGAAATACACAAAAATAAATTTGAAAACCCACCATTTTCATTAACTGCGCGTAATTATCACACAGTAAATCAGCCAGCAGGTAATCATGACCAAGTCACATTGAATCCAGCCTACAGAAAGACAAAGGGGAAAACCGTGAAACACTGAACACCATTACTGTGCCCAAAATCAGCGTCACATTACTAAAAACAGCTTTGAACGACAGACTTACGTTCATCATGGTGGTTTGCAAGCGCTGCGATGGGAATTCATTATGAACATGCTTTATTTGAGCGGCTCTGTCCTCTATGTCTGGGGAAGCATTAACACGCAAGAGCTGCGGCGAGAAAGAGAGCGAGGAGCAGAGAGCGTCCGCTTTTATAGCGCTGGAGCGTCTCGACCCACGTGACTAGGGCTGCGATCCATTCGGTAGTGATCATCCCTGTGCCCTATTCCATTCGAAGCTGAGTGTTGGAGGGTTGAAAGGAGTAGCGTTCAAAATAACGGTCATTCGGAACTCACTTATTAAGACACGTATATTGTTTGGAATGATCCTACAGCGTAGCTCTCATTAGTGTTCTCCTTCCAAGTGCCCTACGAAGGCAGGATTAATGAGTTTGGGGTGCTGGAAATGCCATGTGGAAACCGTAATGCGTTCTGGGAAAATAAAGCGCTTTATAAAATAAAGGTATTAGAAAATAACAAATAACTAATTTAACATAAAAAAAAACATAAAATCACATTACTGCTACGTAATTGTAATTATACATTTTAAATATATGCGAAAATGTGATTTATTTATCCACTGCACAATTTAACATGTTTTCACCCCCTATTTAGATGTACAAAATAAGGGTCATTAAAACAACGAAAACTAGCCTAAATGAACGTTTTTTTTTGTTAATAATTAAAAAGTCATATAATTACATATAATGCGTCTCTTTCAGCTCGTCTGCTGTTTCTGTTTCATGCAGATAT